CTCAACCCTCCTTGGTTGGGTAAACACTGTGGCCTCCACTTCTCATTCGCCTTCTCCTCCCGCCTCCCGCCTTGTGCGTACCTCTTGTGTGTGCATCGTGCCTGCAGTACCCCTTGTGTGTGCATATTGCCTGGGGGGCTGCGATTTGCGAAACTGTCGCCACTTTCGAGGGCTGCTGGGGGTGACAGCATAGATGGCAGCCGCCGCGGACCCAACTTAGGCCTCGCCATCCCTGGGGGGGGGGGCTGCGATTCGCGAAACTGCCACCACTTTCGACGGATGCTGAGGGGCGCAGCATAGTGGGTAGCCGCCGCGTGCCCAAATTCGACGTCGCAATGCCTGGGGGGGCTGCGATTTGCGAAACTGTCGCCACGTTCGAGGACTTGTATGGGGAGGCAGCATAGTGGGTAGCCGCCGCTGACCCAAATTCGACGTCGCCATCCCTGGAGGGGCTGCGATTTGTCAAACCGTCGCCACTTTCGAGGGCTGCTGGGGGGACAGCACAGTGGGTAGCCGCAGCGGACCCAACTTTGACCTCGCCATCCCTGGGGGGCTGCGATTCGAGAAACTGTCGACACTTTCGAGGGCTGCTGGGGGGACAGCATAGTGGATAGCCGCCGCGGACCCAACTTAGGCCTCGCCATCCCTGGGGGGCTGCGATTCGCGAAACTGCCACCACTTTCGATGGCTGCTGGGGAAACAACATAGTGGGTAGCCGCCGCGGGCCCAATTTCGACCTCGCCATCCCTGGGGGGGGGCTGCGATTCGAGAAACTGTCGACACTTTCGAGGGCTGTTTGGGAGGCAGCATAGTGGGTAGCCGCCGCTGACCCCAATTCGACCTCGCCATCCCTGGGGGGGGGATGCGATTTGCGAAACTGTCGCCACTTTCGAGGGCTGCTGGGGGGGGGACAGCATCGGGGGTAGCCGCCGCGGACCCAACTTTGACCTCGCCATCCCTGGGGGGCTGCGAATTGCGAAACTGTCGCCACTTCCGAGGGCTGCTTGGGAGATCAGCTATAGTGGGTAGCCGCCGCGTGCCCAAATTCGACGTCGCAATGCCTGGGGGGCTGCGATTTGCGAAACTGTCGCCACTTTCGAGGACTGCTAGGGGAGGCAGCATAGTGGGTAGCCGCCGCTGACCCAAATTCAACCTCGCCATCCCTGGGGGGGCTGCGATTTGCGAAACTGTCGCCACTTTCGAGGGCTGCTGGGGGGACAGCACAGTGGGTAGCCGCCGCAAACCCAAATTAAACCTCGCCATCCCTGGGGGGCTGCGAATTGCGAAACTGTCGCCACTTTCGAGGGCTGCTGGGGGGGGGGGAGCATCGGGGGTAGCCGCCGCGGACCCAACTTAGACCTCGCCATCCCTGGGGGCCAGCGATTTGCGAAACTGTCATCACCT